GGAGAAATGCCGTCAGCCTTATTGGGGACAGGGCAACTTGCCATTGCTCAAATCCCACCCCAGTTAGCACAGAATCAATTTGAAATTTGAGTCCAGAGTTCCATACCATGACATGGGGAAACTTTCTTCACTCAACAGCACAAAATAAACTTAAACAAAAGTAGAACCCTGCTTTTAAGATAAAGAATAGATTCTGCTTTCCATTTTTAGCCTTTGGCTAGTAAAACAAATGAAGAAGGGATAGGTAAGTTAACTATTCTTGCAGAGTGGGAGAAGGAAAGATTGTAATGCAATGACAACTGAAAAGAATGCTCTTCTGACAACTGTATTAAGTGGGACAGCTGAAATTTAAAGTGTCAAGACCTAGCAACCAGAACCAGAATAAGTAACTACTTATGGCCACAAGCAGCAAAAGGAAGGACTCTATTCACTTCTGATTATATATTGGGAAGAGGAAATATTCCTGCTTAAGGTCCCCAAAGTGCTAGCACTGCCTCTGACAAGAACTATTTCAGAACTGTCCAGCTTAATAGAACCCTCTGCAATGGCAAGAGACTTTCCTATGCAATATAACAACCCAAAGTTAAAGCCCTGAAAATGAGCACTTTTTAAAATCGAACTAGGTTATGCTTTCATTCTTGGCTAATGCAAACAGATAATTTTTAAAGGTTAGCGCCTGTATTAAGTGAAGTGACTGAAAGCTCAGATGCTTCTGCCTGATTTCTAACTTTTCACCAGCTATTACAGCTGCTGGAGCAGCTGTTTGGGAACCTTGAAGAAGCTGGAGCTGTTGATCAGAGCAAGAAGAGCTGGTAACGGGAAAAAAACCCAAAAAACAAATTAAGCCTCCAAACAGAGGCTTCCAAGAACACCTGGCTGTGGTACAGAAAGGGCAATTAGAGCTTGGGGGAGAGAAACTCGAGGCAGCTCCAAATAAGAGAAAGCAGCGACAAGTAAACAACTCCAATTTGGGAAGATAAGCTGTTGTCATTTCATGGTAAATGAGTGAAAGGTAGCTCCAAAGATATGTCAGGCTGTAACACAGCCTAGGCAAGATAGAGGGCCATACTTAAAACGTATAGTCTCCAAAGAAATAAGAATATTTTTATGCAGGTCTTAACAACCTTCCCAGAAACTAGTTTTGCACAACTTCTGATTTTACATCTCACAACTATCATGACCAACTTCTTGTCAAATTCCTATTCTGCAACACAGCTGGGCTGTCCAAAGAGGCAAAAGGATTAGGAGTGAGGCCAATAAAATAAATGTCCTCAAAAATGCAAAGAAAATGTGGCTTCACAACATCATATAAAAATACCTCAAAATGTGGCACAAAACTAATCAAGTGAAACTTCAGTGGATTGCAGTACAGTCAAGTACTCTAAATGCACTCTGACTTATAGTTCCCAAAGAAACAGGATCAGCTCAGTTTTTTCACATGAAGAAGGAGCATATACAAAGCTTCCTGCCTTCATCAGGTTACCCTGCCCAAAGCCCTGCCCACTGCCCCCACCAGTTTTGCGGCCTGTCAAACCAGATCTGAATGTTGAGGTAAGCACTATCACTCACCTAGCATGAAAAATGAGGACTGGCTTGTGAAAACACAAAAACATCTTATTTTCCTGTGGCAACAACCTGAAACTTAAACTAGCGTCTAGGTAATAGCTCTATAATTTCCCTCTCAAATGAACAGCAACCTGTCACATTTCCTGATGGCAGAAATGGTACAGCCATTATCAGGTCAACAAACATCATAATTAAAATTATCCAGCTTTCCACGTGGTTAACTCACTCTCTGGAACAGACTCAAATGTTATTAAGCTCTCAAAGCTAAATAAGTGAAGTGGTTTTGTTCCTTCCAACCATCCTCAGGGAAAGATAATAAAATGTGGCCTCTGGGTGTCTTGTGGCACTAGCCACATCATAAGCCTAGTTTTGTAACTTTAAACTCCAATAAATCAAGGCAAATATTCCCAAAAGAAAATGCTGTCAGATAGACCTATAAGATGAACAGTAAATGGATCCCATCTACATAGAGAAGCTATATCCCTGATGGTCTACTGTAAGTCTTGTTATGTACAAATGAAGTAAATTGATTTATGTAGGAACTTTCATTCTTCTTGAAGTCTCCTTGGATCACTCAAAGGAAGATAAGAAACATTAATTGAACACGGGAACTAAAGAACATAGACAATGTCTGGCCACCACATTGGAATTTTAGTCACTAACCAATCATTTTAATCAATATAGTAATATGATTTTTAGCGTTTTGCAGAGTTAAGAATTTAAGTTCCCAGACTCTGCTTTGGAAAGTATTGCGATGGTTTCCCTTGAGGATGATTAAATGCAAAGTAGAGCAGATTGCTTAACTTAAACAAAAGCTTCAGAGGGGTAGCATAGTTAGACTGTAACAGGAAAAACTTAAAAAACAACAAAAGTCTGGTAGCACCTTAAAGACTAACAAAACATGTAGATAGTATCATGAGCTTTCATGGGCACAACCCATTTCTTCAGATTACAGGAGTGTTGGAAGTCCAGATCCAAGAATAAATAAGGGAAGGAAGGAGGGAGGAGAAGGGGAAAAAATGGAGGGGAGGAAGAAAAAAAAAGATAGTGAGTAGATAAGCTTCAGAGGGATAGCCGAGTTAGTCTGTAACAGGAAAAACTTAAAAAACAACTAATAGTCTAGTAGCGCCTGAAAGACTAAACAGTTCCAAGAGGCTGATAAGAACCATTAGTTGCACTTGAAAGGAAGATAATCAATACCAGATTTTTTTCTTCCCCCCCTCCATTTTCTTCCCTTCTCCCCTCCTCCCTCCTTCCCTTATTTATTCTTGGATCTGGACTTCCAACACTCCTGTCATTTGAAGAAGTGGGCTGTGCCCTTGAAAGTTCACGATACCTTTAGCATAAACAGTTAGCATTTAGCAGTGATGCTTGGAATACCTTTGCCAGATGTTAAAAAGAATTCTGTGTGTGGCTCGAAAACTTGCCTTTGTAACCAACAGAAGTTGGTCCAATAAAAGATATTACTTCACCCACTTCATCTTTCTAATATGCTGGTAATAACACAACTACAACTACATTGCATGTGACAACCAAAAAATCCTCAGACTTATTTGTCCCCAGAAACTTGTGCTGACAAGTAATTCGTAAAGCAATTTATCAGTGACTGACACAGATATTAATATTATGTATTTATTTCTATGGACACAGAGTCCTAGGGGCTGAAAGGAACATAATGGTTTTTCTTTCTACTGTTCAAGTATGAGGAGGTTTCTCAAGCTTCAAGGGATTTTCTATAGCAGAGGTATACTCAGACCTCAATGGTTCAGGAGCCAAATTAGCAATCAGTATTACCAAAAGAGCTACAGTAGCATAAAATCATTGTTTCACTATCACACACGTTTTACTATCACACATGAAAGACACATTAACGAGCCACTTGCATCTTGAGAGCCATAGTCAGAGCATCATTGTCCTATAGTTACTGTGCAATAGTGGTGGGCAATAATTTTTGAAGGGTGGCAACTTAAAAAATTTCTGAACTGTTTGCAGGTTGCCCCAGAAGGGGTGAAGCCTCGGGTGAAAGGGGCAGGGCCTTGGACGGAGCCTTTAAGTAGCAGGAGTTGAAAGGGCTTACACCTTCTTGGCGGCTCCCAGGAAATGCATTGGGGGCAGGGCCAGGAGCTGCCATGGGCCGGATGAAAGGACTAGGCAAGCTGGATCTGGCCTGCTGATAGCCTCTTGCCCAGCCCTATTCTACAACATCAAGAGACCTAAGATGTCCACAAGGAGATCTGAGAAGACATGCTGGTATTTCAAGGGTAGGTTCCTCCAAATATACAGGCAGTCCCCAACTTGCGCGGATCCGACTTATGTCGGATCCGCACTTACGAACGGGGCTTTTCTTGCCCCGGAGCTCCCCGGCGGCAGGTCGCCACCCGTGTCCTCCGGGGAGAGAAAAGCTTCTCCCGGTCTCCCTAGTCTGCTGGGAGGGGGGGGGGTCCAGCAAAGCCGCTGGCCCCCCCCAGCAGACCAGGGCCACCCGAGCAAAGCCGTCGCCTGGGCGGCTTTGCTCATAAAGCGGCCCAGGCGGCGGCTTTGCTCGGGTCTCCCTGGTGTGCTGGGGGGGACTCCTCCCAGCACCCCAGGGAGACAGGAGCAAAGCCGCACGGGCAGCGGGGTCCCCCCGCCTGTGCGGCTTTGCTCGGGTCTCCCTGGTGTGCTGGGGGGGACTCCTCCCAGCACCCCAGGGAGACAGGAGCAAAGCCGCACGGGCAGCGGGGTCCCTCCGCCTGTGCGGCTTTGCCTGGATCTCCCTGGTCTGCTGGGGGGGGAGGGGCGCAGCTAGTGCACCCTCCCCCCAGCAGACCAGGCTTTTGTTGCGGGATGCCTCGGTAGAGCAGCTGGGGTGCTGCCGGGTTGGTCCTGTGGGAACCTACCAGGCAGCACCCGAGCTGTTCTGTCCCAGGCTCCAGATTCAGCAGCTGTTGAAACTGATCAGGCTGATTCCAGGAAGCTGGGGGCAGAGCAACTCTGCCTCCGGCTTCCTTTAGTCAGCCCCTGGACAGTTTCAGTGGCAGCAGCTGAATCTGGAGCCAGTTCCGACTTACATACAAATTCAACTTAAGAACAAACCTATAGTCCCTATCTTGTACGTAACCCGGGGACTGCCTGTAGAATCATTAAAGATATAAGTGACACATACTTGTTAATGGCGGGGGAGGTTTGAGGGCACAATTTAAAGGTTTTGTTGTTATGCAGAAGAATTCAGGACAGGGTATATAAACCCAGGCAGAGATCTAAGAGGGCATGTTACCCCATATGACACCCCCCTACACACACACCACCTCTGATTACAGAAGAGGTGAGAAATGGCTCAAGAATTACTTCTAGAAAGCAAATTTAGTCAGAAGAAATAATAAAATCCATTTGTCAATGAATTCATTATTGAACAAAAAGTCCTCTTATTTTGAAATAAAAATTTTTAGTTAACACTGCGCCCAGTCACACACAGGATAACTATTAGAGATGGAGAGTAATACAACTATTCAAAAGTTTGTTGATCACTGACATTTTAAAGTTATGTTATACTGAATATGACATTTATTTAATATATTATTAAATGCTTTGGAAAGCTATTTTAATTAAAATAATTACTAAAACAATCTTAGTAAATAATTATATTTATTGTTTATTCTTATTTATAAGTGACCATTCACTCTAACTGCAAATTAAGTAGAAGCATTATCATTAGACAAGAGAAAAATCTGAGGCTTACAACAGAGTGTAATGCCTTTAATAAGCTGCAGCACAGAAAGAAGGCTTGTTCTTTAAGTATTTTTCAGATAACAGCTACTGGAAAATGAAATCTCTAGAATCAAACTGTACAAAAATGCTACTTTATAGTTAGTTAGGTCTATATACCTAAGAATAATCAATACTTATCCAAAGTCTATAAAATGAGTGGTATCCAGAAGATTTTAAGTGAAATGTGTCAAAATATTCCTCATCTTAGGGTGTTTTCCTTATCTTTACTAAGATATAACATTCTTTAATGGAGAAACCATCTGCATTTATTTGACTTTTTTTAAAAAAGTGAAAGGATTGTGAGTAGATCTGAATTACTAATCATCATAATTACATTGTGTGTTCATCCTCATAATTAAAAGATGAATACAGATTATTCATTCCACTACAAATCACAGGGAAAATGCAGAAAAGGAAACAAAAAGAAAATCTAACCACAGAAATGCTTTTACATACCTTATAGGATAAGACTTCCTTGAACTGGTGACTGAAAGAGAAAAGAATATTGATTCAGTTCACACTGGAAATAATCAAGATTGAAAACAGAAGCAGTCTTTAAACACTTGATTGAATTCTAAAAAATAATACTTTTATCTGGAGGCTGAGAAGCTGTCTTCAGAAGGAGAAAATATGACAGTTTTTCTATTCACTGAATAGAAAAGGAATATTACGTGCCATTTTATGTTTTATTGTAGAACATATACAAGGTTTCAGAGAGGTAGCTGTGTTAGTCTGTTTCAGCAAAAACAGCAAGGAGTCCTGTAGGCCCTTTAAAGACTAATACATTTATTAGACTATTAGAACATAAGCTTTCACTAACTACAACTCCCTCAGATGCTGAAGAGAAAAAGAGAGACAGACAGAATGAAAGAAAGAATAAATGAAAGAAAACGGATAGAGATGGGAGTGTGACAACAGTGCTAATTACATTAGAATGAACGTGGCTCGTCTCCAACACTGGTGAGAAGGTGAAAGTACTTGAATGGGAAACTACCTACTGTAATGCAAGAACCACTCCATGTATTTATTTTAGACCTTGGTTCAGGGTGTCAAATTTGTATCAGAATTCCATTCGTGTTATGTTTAACAACTTTGACATTTCTTGTAAAAATAGTAAGAAAAATATTTTCAAACAAAAATATATAATTTTTACGGTGTTGAAACTTTTTTTTGATAGAAAAGCTATTATTTACATCAGACAATATAATCCAAAAGAATTTTGGATTTTCTAATAAAGTATACATTTTATAATCTTGAAAATTCAAAAGAGTCTACTTAAAACCATAAGCCAGTCTGAAAGTATAAAAATACACAATTAAAGCTTTTAACACAATCATAACTCCGTCCTGAAACACTCTAATCTTCATTCCCATATACCTACTTCTTAAGATACGTTATTTTTTAATCAAGTGTGTTAAAAAGCCCAGAGCCTAAGGGTTATGATTATGGACATCTTAAATCTGGAGAAAACAGTAAGCACAGTTTGTGATAGAAATATAAAAATATTAACATAAGAGCAATGGATTTGATTGTTTAGTTTTATAACAGTATAAATCTACCAAAATCTATGGGATATCACTGGTGGTGAACTGCAGTAACACATGTGTCAATGAGTCCCAAGGTGATGGGGTCATTCATCCACCCCTAAGCCCAACGAGTGGACCAGACACACAGGGAGAACAGGCTATATTATTTAATGGATGATGTAACCTGTCATCCCACTGCATACGTATTATGTGTCTAGCACTCAGTGTGATAGTCTGCACTACCACACACATAAATACAACTCATTACCTTTTGCTGTTTTCATTAAATTTCCATAAGTCACTAGCACTGTATCTAACAATCCCTATATAACTGGTGACATATAAAATCTTTATGAACAGTGTTGAATAGCTGCCTTTGACACTGAGCTAGGAATTAGTAAAGTATCCCCTTTCTCAGTGGAGTACATTTTTCTGGAAAGAAGGCTGGAATCTCTTTGCCACTGTAGGTATTTTTGTGGTCACTAATGAGGTGAACCTGTTTATCCTGGATAGTTAAAACCAACTGGTTTTTCAGTGGTGATGCAGCAGCTTTATGGGGCAGAGTTAAGGTTCTGTGGGTGTTATTAAATGTCCATTTACATACTTTTGATTTTTAAACTTTACATTTCCAGACCCTTGTACAACTAGATTCTTCACCTTCGAGGAAACATAAATTTCACTGTGTTCTGAATGAAACCGTAACAGCAAGGGCAGACAACAAAGGCTGCGTGGGCCTTGATGCAGTGTTCAATCACCATGTCAGTTGCCACGCCACAAGCATGCAGAGCCACCTAAAACATATAAAGAAAAGAAACTTTAACAGTATTCTTCTGTTCTCTTACAACTCTATTTCTTAGAAGTTTTCTGGATGATTGAATTATCTGACCCCCCCCCACACACACACACATACACACACACTGCAGTGAAAGCTAGAGGGTAAGGCTAGGGCTTATTCCCAACCACTCAACCAGAGAGTGTCTCATAGCTCTGTCAAACATTTCTCTTGCTCATTTTAATGCCAAGGGAACTTCATCAATAATTCTTGTTGGTGGAGAAACTATAGACACTAAACTAAAATTACTTGCCAATGACATTTTACAGTATCAACTCAAATGAAGATACCTTTAAAATATTTTACAAAATACAAAATATCATGCTGGTTAGTGAAGAATGTCAGTCCAAGAAAGAAATGCTTAGAAATGTGTAGAGATTTTTTAAAGCTAGATTTTAATGATAAAAACGATATGTGAAACACAATAATCAGTAACACGCACATACAGGTTACATTATATATCATCTCTCACTGAAAGAAAATCTTAACGACGACTTGGTTTCTGCAAAGCCATGAAAGAGGAAAAAATATGTTAAATCAAATTTAGGCTTATGAGAAAGCACCTTTTTAACTGAGATATTTAATAAATGGGTATTTGTTTGTCAGAGACAATAAGCAGGCAAAGATTTTGTCATTCTGTTGTAATTTTCTTTTCATTCTTTTGGGATGTACTTGTACACCAGGAAAAAAACATTTAACATGTCATTTCATCATGACAGGATAGATTCTGAGTTCATGTGCATATCAAACATGCAAGGAGGTTCCACTCGCTTTAAGTGCCAGTCACAACTGCACTTGTTGTGGAGAGCAAGTCAGCTCCTTTGATATACAAGGGGCTGAAAGCAGTGGGGTAATTTGTCCACCCCTGAGCCCAAAGAGTGGCCCAGACACACGGGAAGAACATCTCTTTTAAGGGATGGTGCAATCTGCCATTTAGCAAATTTGCCTGTTGATGGTACAATTGCCCTTAAGATGGATGCAATCCCACAATGCAGACTTTAGATATTTTTCCTCAGTCACTTTGGTAATTGTCAAATATGTGTATTTCAACAGGGTTCCTCTATATTAGAGCCTATCTCCTCCATCTATTTAAGCTAGTAGAGAGGCTGAATTTGTGATATCCCAAAAAAGCCTATGCCAACAATTATAGCAGAAATTGGCCAATGCCAAAATAACACTCTGAAGTTAGAGAAGAGATTTATTTTATTCCTACATCAAAAAACAAAATCTGATTAACTGAATCATATGTAAATAAAAAACAAAAGTGTACAGGCTTGTAAACATTATATGTAGCTGGGCTCTACATTCCATGTAGATCTGTAGGTAGAAATAAACAGGAAACAAATTAGTCTTTTTAAAAAATAAACTCCAAAACTATATATACTGGAACATATGACACCATTATGTACTGTATGTTTAAGAATTGATTTCAGAATATCTCCAAGGGTCCTGATCCCACAGAGTTCTGTGAAGTTGCATTTGGAGTTCACTGCAGGACTGGACTCTAAATTAGCACCTGCTTCATGAGAGATGACACATGTAAAGACTCATAAGGTGTTGATCAATATGCTAAAATAGTATGTGAAATCCAAAAATCTTTTAGTGTGTCCCTTATTGCTGCTTCAGAACTACAATGACAGGCATTTGTTCCTTTATGAAGTGTTTTAGAGCCTACTCCTATAAATACACATGCATACATACTCACATGAATGCTCTCAATGCAATGAGGGACATTACGAGGTTCATGTTTGTAAAGTTCATCAAATCATAAATGTTTGCAGGATCAGATCTGTATTCTCTTAAATTGGGTATATATATTTTAAAAATCTAAGTTAGTCAACCATCTTTTCCCCTCACCCTCTCTCAAAGATGCAGCTCTCAGGCAAATGTGCCTCTTTTTAAAGTAGCATTTATTTAATGTAATTTTTCTGAAGCTTTTTTGTGATTTTATTTTATTTCCATTTGATGTTTGGCTTTATGAAAAATTGAGTGACACTCAAATGACTGCAAGCTACTTTTTTTCATGAAATGTAACAAGAACACTGCATAATCATTATGTCAAAAATAATTACACAATCGCTTGTTCACCATTTTGAAAAGACAGGACAATGCTAGCAGGTTATACTGGAGCAATTAATTAATTTTCTAACTATGACCAAACAAATATATTATGTTCTTGTTTCATTTTTTGAGAGGTTTATAAGGCACAGGAAAAATTAAATTAGATGTGACTCTGTTTGAGCTCAATAATTAGACAATAATGCACACAATGCAAAATGTTCTCATTTGTGAAGAATTATGTTCTAACCAATCCCAGACAGATGCGCAAGCCTAGAGCAGTGTTTTTCAACCTTTTTTTTAAAAATAAAGTACCCCTTTAAAAAAACATTATAAGTACCCCCTTTAAAAAAATTATAAGCAGGGCTCGACAAATAATGTAATCTACTCGCCGGTGGCAAGCAGATTACAACCCGGAAGAGCCGGCACAGAACTGTGCGAAACCGCGTGGCTGGTGAGTGGGGCTCACCGCCGCTTGGCAAGCCCTGATTATAAGTATCCCCAGTACCTATGGTTTTCAGACACACAAATTTTTTTCTACCATTACTACACATTTGTTTAAACAACTTAACTGTAGCCAGGCGGGCGATGAAATTTTTGGGTGTAAAAAGTACAAAAATAATAAAGCGTTGTAAAACTTAAAACAAAAATTCAGTTTTCTCCAAATTTCAGTTGTCTTGAAGTACCCTCCCAGACTTCTCTCAAGTATCCCTAAGGGTACTTGTACCACTGGTTGAGAAACACTGGCCTAGAGAATATAAAAGCAGGGTTTGTTTTAAGGATTGCATTACAGAACTACAACGTGATACCTCATGGGAAACTGACTTTTCAAAAGACTACATGACTTCCATTTTGGATTCAAGATCCAATAATACTCCAGAATTACAGACATGATCACAACGGGGAATGGATGCAAATCTGTAGACAGTTCTGCAGTTAGATTTATAGGTCATAGTTTTGTACTTCCCAATTGCCTGAACCAAAACCAAAAGTGACAGTGGTCCCTCAAACAGGACAATGCATCATAATAGCTACCATCACACAAAGGGAAAATTGAAGTGGTCAAAATAAAAGAATAGAAACAATCCAATATATAGTTGTAGTAGAAGGAAAAGGCTGCATTAATAAAAAACTGTAAGAGATGCCTACTGTGTCTCTGCTAAGCCTATATTGTAATTAGTTTTAAACACACAGTCTATGTTTACACTACAGGGTTTTTGTGCTTTTTTGAGCAAGAAAATTTACAGTAAAATGGCAGAACAGAAGGCTTTTTGTGGTGTAGGTATACCTCTTTCTACGAAGAATAACTCCTTTTTTCGCAAGAGTTCTTGCACAAAAAGGTGTGTGGGGACGCTCAACAGGGGTTTCTTGTACAAAAAGAGCCTATCAGAAAAAGCACAGGTGCTCTGATGGCCTTTTTGTGAATAGCAATCATAACATTCTTGCACAAGAGTGTCCATGCAGCGTGGACGCTCTCTTGCGATGAGCTTTTTAGGTGTGGACGTGCTTTTGCGCAAGACGTTTTTGCGAAAGATCTCTTCTGCAAAAAGCTTCTTGCACAAAAACCCTGCAGCGTAGACAAAGCCACAATGTCTGAGCAATTCAGAATCAGTCAGATGAAGCAATGAGAATAAGTCAATGGGCTTAAATTGCAGCAAAGAAGATTAGGTAAAACATTAGGAAAACTTCCTGTTTAGGTGGTTAAAAGCACTGGATTAAATTGCCTAGGGAGATTATGGAATCTCCATCATTGGAGATTTTTAAGAGCAGGTTAGAAATGGTGCATGGTCCTGCCCTGAGTGCAGGGGACTGGACTTGATGACCTCTAAAGGTTCCTTCCAGTTCTATGAAGAGAACTCTTGGCTATATTCTCTATTTCATGGCATGCAATATGCCAAAGCAGCAGATTTACAAAAAATGAGAATTTACAGAAATAATGTTTCCTTATATCAACATTTTGTTTATATATTTTTTCTTTATAGGGACTGGTACATAAAAACAGGCTCATTCTGTTTTACACATTAACCTGTTCCTCCTGATTATTCTTAATATCATAATTCTGATTGACCACACAATTGGGTAATATGGAAATTACATCACAGATTGGGATTTCACAGGGAGAACAAGCAGGAACAAATGAATCCTCGGCGAAAGGATCATGTTCTCATTTACATTTTCTTAACAGAAAATAAAGAAAGCAAGCCAATTTAGAACATAACAAATTTATCAGATTCTTCTAGTGATGGAAAAAATGATAATCAGCCACCATTTTAAGTCATTCATCAAGATTTCTTTGTGTGGAGAGGAAACAAAACAAAAGAAATAGGATACAGTGTTTATAGAGTGTTCCAGAGGGACAGCCACTCTTTAACAGCAAAGAGTAAAAAGCAGTATGACGTCTGAGTAGTAAGATGAGGGTCTGGTTGTGATTTATATTAGTAGTTGTTTTCTGTGACTGTATTGACTTGTTAGTGCTTCTTGACAATTATCTATGAATAATTACATTTCATTCATAGGCACTGAAGCCTTGATCTTAGATTAGTTTTCCAATATGTGACCTTTTCGGGCATAGTTCTCAAGTGGATTAAATTCCATTTCTCTTTGATGGACACCGCTTATAATATTCGAGATAAAATATTTCATCTAAAACTGATGTGAGAAACCAGTGACATACCAAAGTGATATTTCAAAACTTTTTGTACCAGTGAAGTGAAGAAGACTAGACTGATGCACAAAAATTCAGGAACAATTTATGCCCTTGATCTTAAGAGATTTCAGCTCCTGATGACTCAAAGGTGCTCAGGAATGCTCAAAATCTCCACAGCCACAGCTGCTGTAGAAAAAAAAGAAAATCTTCACTCTTTTCCATCCTCCCTAAAAAAACATTTTGGCACCGATGAA